TATATCTTTATGTTTGAAGCCTGAAATGTGGCAAAAGGTTGAAAAGTTCAAGGGGGCCGATTACTTTCACAAGGCACCGTATATTGGTGTCTGACTGACATAATGGAAATTGAGGAGAATAACGTTAGACAGTATTTAGATTGTAACCAGTCTTGCAACACCCAACTCTTTATTTCTAGGCTACAAGCCTCACTTCTGAATAGATAGCCAGTAATGGTCAAACTGTTTTCATGCTGAGGCTGATCAGAACCAACCAAACTGAAAGTCCACCAGCCCTCTGTTCACATTGTGAACTCTCTGAGATGGAATGGCCTGGATGCGTCTAAAACATGTGGCTTTCGCTTGGTTAACAAAAATGCTCTGTAATATCTTGCTAAGGTGATTGTTTTTCTGTTTCTCCCGAAAGATCTCAAGCTTTGTTTCAAATTGTTTTCCCCCCTGTAACGCTGATGTGACTGATTTTCTCAACCCCTTTCTGCACGCGCCTGGGCAGGTGACTGTTGCTGTGGGCAGGAGGTTGGTAATGGACTCTCACTCACAGAGGGAGGTGAGATGCCAGAATGCCATAGTAATGATGCCAGGGAGCCTACGAGCCTTATGCCTGCACTAAAGCAGTGTTAACCGGCACAGCTGCATGTTCTTCAGCTGCAGAAATTAAGTGGAGTTTTTGTGAGGTGCGGCGCATGATTTGTTGCTGTGCACATGCTCAGGCTGTCTGCAAAGCCTAACAGCCATGCCACTGGTGTATTCTGATTAACAAGGATATTGAAGGGTTTTATTAAAAACAGAGGATTGAGTACATGAACATTAGAATCAAAGTATTGTGTAAAGAAGCAAGAGGTACAATTTATGTAGGCTATGTTGCTTAACACACTGTTTCTTCCCAGATAAGGCTGGATTTTCTATGACACTGCAGCTGTACATGTATCATCTATTCAAACTTGTTGGGTTTTTAATTGAAGGACCCGATATGCATGCAGTTTTATAATATTTTGCAACTTGCATGTGTGTAGCATGTGCAGATTTTAACAGGACCCAGCCTATGAAGATTTGTTCCTATAACTGTCATGCACATAGTGCACAATTTATGTACAGTGTCTGCAACCAAAGCCCTTTCCTTCTACGAGTACAGATGAGCTTGCAATCTGGACTTGAACAATACTGTTTAGAAGCTAGTTCTCATTAAGATTTTAAAACATATTTCGTGTCAGTGTCAGTTTCACAAACAGGGCTTGGTTGGTTATGGTTTACTTAATTAGATCGATACATTTAAATATGTGCCATAGCACAATAAGATTCTTCTTACAGTATGTAGAGAAAAAGTAAATATTGAGAGCCAGATACCATAAAAGTAGACTTTTATCTATATCCGAATGGCAGGGCATGCCCCTTTCTTCAATAAGCATTTAATTAACCTGATCCATTTGTAGAATATTAGTTATGGCCGACAACTACATTCATAAGAGTTATCACTGAAAAATCAAGCTTACCTCTCAAGTTGTATTGAAATGAAAAGGTTTGTAGACAAGAGGGAGAAATCAAGTCGATGTGGCTTGTTTAGTTGCTGGTGGCTAATTAATGCAGTGGACTCATCCAGTCATTTCTTGAAAGCTTCTTCCCGACTACCACAACTCTTTGTATGTCTCCTGTTTCAAAAGCACGTCCCCTCCATTTCCATTTGTGTCCAAATAAAAGGTTAGATATTGCCTTTCACATTACTTAAGTGTCCTTGGCTCTGTTTTATCATTCTGCTTTACTCTGATGGTTCCAGGGACAACACTGCCTTGTATGCTTCCTAGAGATGACGGTGACCCAGGACCACCAGGATTTCGTGGAATCCAAGGTAACCCTAAAGTCAGCAGGTGCAGTAAGAAAATGTGGATGTCCATTTAAAATACAGCATGCATCATTTTATTTTTTTTTTATTATTTTACTTAGTATTAATCAGATCTTCTTTTTGAACTCAGGGTATATACCTTAAACATAGCTATTGAGGCATTAAAGGCGCTTAAATCTGGAGAGATTTGTCAGGTCCTTTCAAACAGGAACTGGAAGCTCACTACAGGATGCCAAAAATGTCATTAATATTACATTGTGTAATTGTTTTCTCACTCTATTATTTGACGCACAATCTCAGAAACTGGTTGATAAATAATAAAACTACTGTAAATACCTACCTGCATAATAAACAAGGTCAAAGTTCAACTGTATAGGCACTCCTTAGGAGGAGGCTAAAATCCAAAATTATAGTTTTTTAACAATATAATTCATCATGAAGACTGAGACATGTCCAATAAAGAAAAACACATTTTTCGGTTTCCATCAAGAGTTGGGGAATATTTTTTTGCTTCCGAGCACCAGAAAGCAAATTTGTGTATTCAAACTGTGGTGTGGGCATTGCTGGAGGGAAAAGACACAGTATTGAGAGGCACTTCTCCACTGTTCACGATAATTCAGGTCAGAATGTTCCCACTTGAAGCAGTCTGCAGTCTGAAACCTTAAACTACTGTAGGTAAAAGCTGCCTCTCACAGGCAGTGATCCTCATTGCCAAACTGATTGAGGAAAGCCATAGTGCACACAAACCATCTTTCAAAGTGTCTTGTTATTTGGCAAATAACAAGAAGGTGTTTACAGATGGCAAATTGTCGAGCATGCATTGACATTATTAGCTGAATCTTTATTTAAGAATGGTAAAAACAGTCCCAAGATTATAGCAGCTCTTTCATACAGTTTATGCAGCTAGGAGTAAGTCCAATGTCAAGAAGAGTCTTTGTCCATGCAGTTAGACTGGGATATTGGTATAGCCAGTGTGTCTCACAGTGTGTCTCAGTTTAGTGTGATAAACTGATTGAGGTGTTTTTTCAAATGGTGTTCTGGAACGTCACCATCAAAAAGCAATTTGTGGCATTGTCGCTGAACTCAACAACTGAAGGTACTGATATCTTCAACATGTTGATTGACTGTTTTATTGCAGAGAAATGGGCCAATCGAGACGTTGGTGTCCCTAACTGACCAAGTGGCGTGTAAATGTTGCAAATTACAAAACTGATCCAGACTTGCTTTGTTTTAGGAACTATTATTGTATTATCCATTAGCAAGCAATTTTGGCCATTGTAATGGGGTCTGATTTCAATTCAGTCTATGAAGGCCACCATGCACTGGAATAACTATCATCTGAGACTTCAGAGCCTTCCTCTAGCTCAGCAGAGAAATAATTCAGCATTGAAGCATTTCACATTTGTAACCGAAGTTTAAATAGAAGTCACTTGACAGACACTGCTTGTAGTGTTTTGTAGTTTGATTAGGCCTTTTTAACCCATGTATCTAAGACATGCCCTGAACCAAATTGCTAGACAAAGAGAGGTCAGTTGCTGATATGATCAAGGCAGTTAAAGCTTTCAAGTCTAAATTGACCCTCTTTCTTCATCAAGTGCTGCAAAAGACAATGCGGCATCTCCCCTCTGTTCTCAAAATGCTGAAGGAAAATCCAGGTGAACCTAGGGCCTTGACTGCTCAGAAGACCAGAGATCTCTTGGTCAGGAGTTTGACAACAGATTCACTGATTTTGAACAGGTTGTACAGCTGCTAAATAGGAGGTTAAAGACACCTCCCCAAATGTCAGTGCCAGAAATTGTTAACTGTCTGACAACTGGAAACCTACTGAAGCTAAGCAGGTATGAGCCTGGCCAGTATCTGGATGGGAGACCTCCTGGGAAAGCCTGCCTTGAGAGGTATTAGAGAGACCAGGACACTTCTCAAAAGAGTAGGATTGTTACCCTGGTCTCCTGGCCAGATTTCCCCCCAGCATTTACCCATCATGGCCTCTTAATACTGTCCATCTGTGAATTGGCCTTCATTACTCTCTTTTCCTCCCTGCTGATAGCTGATGTGTGGTGAGTGTACTGGCACACTTTGCCTCTTGTTGCATCATCCAGGAGGGGGCTATACATTGGTGGTGGCTGAGGTGGTAAGGAATTATTATTATTAATCTCTTTCCCAGGTCCTAAGGGAGAGTCTGGCAATCCTGGGTCTGTTGGCAGGCCTGGTTTTGATGGTCAGAAGGGTGAACGAGGGGACCCAGGATTTGGTGGACAACCAGGACCTCAAGGTAGAGACTTGATTCTGAGCAAAACCTATTCCTTTATTGTACAACTGATCACTCAGCTCATAGTCTCCACTCCCTCTTTTTACGTACTTTTAATTAAAAAATTGTTCTATGGTTCTATGTTAGCAATCTTTAAAAACTGTGTTCTATAACCTATGCGTTTAAGGAGAGAATGGTCTCAAGTCCCTTATTATCGGTTTGCTATTTCTTCTCTCAGTCCCGGGTGGATAATTCTGCTCATTCGGTTCTGGATTTGTCAACTCGTGGTCAATGCAGTTCTTCTGGGGAAACTTCACCACAGCCACAGGACATAAGAGCCAACACGACTGTCTGACATAAAGGGCACTGACTTGGCTTTTCTTTATAGGGTTCACAGGGCCCAGGGGTGACCAGGGCCCTCCAGGCATGCCAGGGCAGGATGGCAGACCAGGGCTTCCTGGGAAGGATGGCATTCCAGGGCTGCGGGGGGAGAAGGGAAAGCCTGGAGAGGTTTTCGGGGCTCAGCCTGGATCCCCTGGCCTACCTGGCCTGCCTGGAGCACCAGGGGACAAGGGACAGATCGGAAACCCAGGCCTCCCTGGATCACCTGGTGAGTTCCGGAGTATAGCCAGTCTCCCCGTAGCCAGTCAAACTGACTTTACCATGATTAATCTATGTCATGGTGAAATCTGAGATGGAATGGATGTAGGGAGTTTTTAATTCATTGATTTGTACTAGTTCTGAATTACTGCAGTTTTTACCTCACTAATATTGAAATTAATAAACTCAATGCAGCTGCCAGACTACCCGCCCTTTCAGGTTATTGCTCCATCATCTTGGTCCCAGTTAACATCCAAATAGATTCTTTCAATAAAGTACAATGATTATGATGAACAAGACCTCTAATACATTTTACTGTATCTGCATTGTACTAGCATCTGCACCTGATGATCAATGGGCTATTCAATCAGCCTCAAAGGACATAGAATTCCCTCCTTCCAATATCTGGTTTTACAAACGTCAAGACAGTCAAGCCACCTCGCATGCAAGGCCAGTATTTATGGTACCATTAGCAGCAATGAAAATAAGAAATGGCTGGCTCAGTCATGAGCATATCTTATAATAGAGCACTAGTAATAACAGAGCACAGATTGAGCTTTGAAGTCTCTTGCATGTGTAGTGCTGTTAACACATGTGCAGTTCCCCTTCCAGCCTCTGTATTAAAGCCTACTTTTTTCCTGGTTGATGTGCATCCGAAATGTGTACTCCTTCCTGCATTCTTCCAGGGTTTGATGGCCGTATAGGTATCCCTGGTGCCAAAGGGGAACGCGGTGCGGATGGCTTCCCCGGAACTCAAGGTTTGCCTGGGCTGCCTGGAGAGGGTGGTCTGGGAGGAATCCCTGGCCCTCCTGGTCCTGAAGGGAGCAAAGGATTTACCGGTCCAACAGGTTAGTTATCTGATCACAGGGCTTCCCACATAGACCTCTGGCTCAGCATTCTGCCGGTGTTCATGACACTTGCCATCAACCAGCATTTCCAGCTCTCCTCTTTCCCTAATGAGGTGTAAGATGCTTTTATCTTTAGTAGGGGGAAGAAACAAAAATGAGTTTGACCTCTGTGCTTCTCTATACTCGCATTCTTCAGGATGTTTTATTTCTACAGTATGTACAGTATGAATCCATTTCAATGAGGTCCATCAGTCAACAGAAGAACCCAGAAATTGCAAGGGCAGTTGGATTCTGCTGCAGGGATTAACAGTTATTTTTAGTCTGGTGCAAGAAACATCCAATCCAAATCTGTAAATCGAAAATGTTCCAGATTTATACTGTAAACAAAATCCACATATATTTACACAATTACAAAAGGGAATATCACAGACACAGTAATGCTGTAGTTCACATTTATTTTATTGAAAACATATAGTTACAGCATATACTGTATAGTAAACAAATCAAAACTGTTCATTGACCTCACGCTACTGTTTGGAAATGTTTATTGGAAGCAGGTAAAAAACAATGTTGCTGGACACTTCCAGTGGCTTTTCTTTGTAATACCACTACTAACAGTTGTGGTGAAAATCTTAACAAAAGAATTCATTAACTGCTAGAGCCCAGGTCAGCATGGCAGTTTCATCACTACTGGGGAGTGTCTCGTGGTGTGAAGAGTGTGGGAATCAGCTGTGCACCCCAAACAAGGCCGCGGGCTGAACTGCAAGGCCCTCCCCAGACAGAAAGAAGTCCTCATCTTGTCATGGAACCACATCCACGCATGCCCATGTTTATTAATGTCTGTGTGTTTTTCCTCACCATGCGTCTTTCTCAATTCCCATCCTCCCTCCATTTCTGGTGTCACTCTGTCTTGGTGTTGGGTCACTCCATAGGCTGCCAAGGTGAGAATTGCTGCTGTGACATTAGAGCCAGCCAGTAGACCTAACAGCCCCGCTTTTAGTGCTGCCAGACTTGAACTAAAAAGTAGACGTAACCATGTAGACTTGCCAGCTTAACACAGCCAGTCCCTGTTTTGAGCATGCTCTGTAGCACCCTGGGCAGGTGGTCCAGTCATCCTCCCCTTTTCATCAATGACAGAAAATGGGATGAACTCACTTCTTTTCTTAAAAAGCTTCTCAAATCTGATTTGCTCCTCATCAGGATTACGTCTCAAAGATGCACCTTTAAACAGTCAATCATTCCAGATGCAGCGTAACTCTGAAGTGTTTGAGGTCATAAAGGAGAGCAGGAGCTGACAGCTTGCGCTAGCCAATTCTGAAACAGCACTGGGGCTGTCATCTCCTGCCAAGGCCAAGTAGGGAATTTGTGGCCTTTGAAAACTAAGGTAGCTTTAGAGAAACAAGGCAACCAAAGGTCAGACTATACAGTACTTCCTCATTGAATGGGGCTGAAACCTTTTCATTAGTATAGAGCCGCAGGGCTAGAGGAAGGGCATGTTGGTTAATCCGTCTCCCTTTTTTTATCTTCAGATTCCTATCCCAGGTCGGGTCATAGAAAATAAGTTCAAAGAATTTGAAGCATTTTTTTAGCCACAAACAGAGAAGCCTATGAGGACTTGATTGTATTCAGAATCCGTGAACAGGAATGGCTTCCACTTGATCTAAATGTCCTTATCTTCACAGAAAAGCCAAGACGCTACTGCCATGGGCATCCACAACTTTTTAAAGGTGCATCGTAACCGAGAGATAAAAATTTGGTTGCTAACATCGGCAATTGGTGGATGCTGTTTGTAGGAGAAAAAATGCTAAAAACATTAGGAATTCAGCACCCACTATCTTTAAACTTTTTGAAAGCATCTCTTACCATCTGTCTGGGCATGTGTCATTGGGCCCCTCCTGTGCGTTGTCAGTCTCTAGATTAGCCGTGTGTGTAGCCCATCGTCAGTGTTTTGCTGTTTTTCGAGCTCATCAGCTCCTCGACTAGCTGCTGCTCTGTAGGATGTAGTGCACTCTTAGGTGTTCAGATGTGCTCCTGTGATTGTGTAATAAAAGTCAGTACTAAGAGCTGTACTGCCACTTGAAACCAACGTGAAATGTAGAAGATGGACTTTTTTGTTTATTCACAGGTTGATAACTGAACTGGGTAAAACATTCAGCACAGTTAGTGTTATAATTGTGGTCCTCTGTTTTTCTTTATTAATAAGCAGGAAGTGATTAAAGGAAAAGTTGTACACACACAGTAAGGAACATTCAGAAAGAAAATATCACATATTCATTTCTTGTTGTTTTCCATCCTAAATATTAAAGGTACTGTATATACAGTAGTTTGTTAATTTTTACATCCATGTATCTGGTTTTGTTAGTTGTTTTTTTGTTGTTGTTGTTTTCTGGTGTGCTTTTCTCTTCTTTTGTAAATAGGTGGGTTTTATTTGTTGTCATGATGGTGCTCTTGCAAATTATTATCCTACAGTATGTCTGCAGAGAGCAGTTGTGTCCAACCAGTCAAGAAGTTATCCATAGCACATTACATTTTATAAAATAATGGAAAGATCACAGCTTGTACTTTAGTAAATGCTGCAATGACATTACTCCTGGTTATGGTGGCCAGACTATCCAGAGCATGTCTAAGAAATTATATGAAACCAGTATCTGGCTTATTAACACCCAGGAATTCCCTGCCATAGAATCCTCACAATCCATATAGACATTTCCTTTCTCTCTTCGTGCAAAAAGGGAAGGAGAAAATATTTAAGCAGCATCTGTAAAACTTTTCTTTCATTACATTAGCTCTGTCATTCAGGTCCATGTCAGCTTTGCAAGGGTTTTTGGTTAACAATAAATTGAATTTTTAAATTATTTTTAAAACAGTTTAGTAGAATTTAAATGATCAATCATTTCTTGATTTATAACTCATTTCTTCAGTCTAATGGACTAAATTTAAATCAAATGTTTTAAATTAGATATCAAAAAGAAAATGTGAACACAATTTAAGATTCAAGAGAAATGATACGTCTTCAGTATGAAATATTATACATAGAAAAAATAGTAAGCTTCCAAAGTTAATATCAGATAAGGCCTTCCTGAGAATCAACACAAACCTGGTAAGACTGACACAAACACCTGATCAGCCTCTGGACAGCCTGCTGTGGGCTGTTCTACCACTTGGCCTGTACAGCTGACCAGCAAAAGTTGGCTGGTCACTGTTGTCTCTTATTGATGGCTCTGGCAAATTGGTCCCACAGGTGGACTATTGCACATAGATCAGGAGTAAAATCTGCCCGTGGCATGGCAATACCTTGTGTTCTTGCAATTGTGCCACTGTAATCATATCCTGTACAGTCTGGAACTGTCATGCCGGAAAGCTGACATTTCCAGTTTATCTTGCAGGATTGGCAAAACAGTTGGCGGAAGCACGTCATGAATGGATCACTGAAAAGTGAGGTTGTCCTCAACATGTACCATCATAGAACACTCTGCCACTTTTACATATTGTTGTGTTTCTAGGAACCAAGAGAGACTTGGCCAGCTAAAGCCAGTGTTATATGTGGTTGGGCTGAGCCAGCTGTAAACCACTGCTAGGAGAATCCAGGTCGTGACCCGTGAATGAACTTGCGACCTCAACTGAACTCTCCTTATTTCTGTTGGTCATATTCTTTCATGTCTTGTTCCTACTTTATATCTTGGTCTTTGATAACATGCTCACATTTTCATTCCATGTTTCATCTCATGTGCATTGTGGTTATGTAGTGTATATGTTATTTAGAAACTTACACAACCCTCATAGTTTGTTTTTTTCCTTTAGAAAGACCTGTAAAATTGCTGCCTTTTCTGGAATAGATCCATTGTTTCCTTAGTTTGGCAACAAAATTGGAGGTTCAGAGCTTGGTCAAATAGAATATAAGATCTACCTTATTTTTAGGTGAATAAATAGTGTTCACCCAGGAAAGCAAGTGAATATTGTTGGAAGGTTAAAATCCACTGAACTTGAAATAATCAATGTCCCAAGTAAGTATTGATTTCCAAAGTAGGATTTAAGAACAAGATTGAGTCCTGCTAAAGTAGTGGAAATTGCTAGTGTGTTAGTGGGAAGAACAAAGAGATATCCTGGGATGTTGATGGGGGAAAAAAAAACATCTGGTACTTCTTGCAGGCTTTCCAGGGCTGAAAGGATTTGCTGGTGACCCTGGCCCCCCTGGTCCAGCAGGAATGAAGGGTCTCCCAGGACAGCCTGGGTTTCCAGGCCTGCCTGGACAGAAGGGCTTTCCGGGGCCACCAGGGAGCAGTGGACAAGATGGTTTTCCTGGGTTGCCAGGCAGGAGAGGTATGGCTCGCTCTTTACTTGTTGGAGTCACACACCCGGTTGCAAAACACGACTTTCTTTGCCGCAACAAATAAAGGCATATTTTCTTGCCATATTTTCTTTGATTTTTGCAGGCTCATTCAAAACATAAACATTGGTGAGAGTGACAGCAAAAGTCAATTTACAACAGGTGGAAGTACAGCTGTTTGATTCCGTCACGTGTTCTTATTGTTCATGTGTACAATAGAGGTCACGTCAAATATTATTTCTCTACATAACTGCTTCAGAATACATTTAAACACACTGCAAAAGTTTGCATACATAAAGAAGTGTTGGTAAATTCTACGTGATGTAACATACTGTATACTTAGCAATTTTTGGTACCATACTATTCAAATACATCACAAAAGCAGCTAAATTCAGCTGATTCAGCTCACACCTGAAGAAGGCTCCACGGCCGAAACGTTGTGTTCTCTTTCTTCTTTTTTTCAGCATGGAATAAACCTATTACTTGTTCCTTTGCAGCCTACGCATGCTGACGCAGCTACCCACCTGAACTAAATTCAGCTGATGTCAAGTTAAAAAGCTTGAAAGAATAAACTTATAATATGTATTTAATGGCAATTCAGCATTGCTTTAACAAGTTTTCCCTACAGGCAGAAATTTTAGAACCAGCTATGCTCGTACTGTATATCAAGGGTTATCTTGTGTTTTGGGGTGCAGTTGGGGGTGAAGTGTCAAAAAGGAAAGGGTGAGTAAGGAAGGGGGAATGTGGTTGGATTTGTTTCCTAATGCATGGAATTGTGTGGCAGGTGAAAAGGGAGTACCAGGCATGCTGGGCTTCCCAGGCATGCCGGGGTCTCCAGGGGCCTCCGGGACCCCCGGACAAAAGGGACCCCGAGGAGTGGATGGCAGTAAAGGGCTGCCTGGACAAGTTGGACTGCTAGGACAGAAAGGTACTGTAGGGCCAGACACCAGTCATTACAATGACAGAACTCAGCTCACTCTGTACAACATATAGAGTAGGATCAAATAGTGTTTTTTTTTTCACACCTAATTCTAACAGGTCTAGTGATAACTTTGGTCATGCTGCATATTTGTTTAAAAATATTTTTATAGTAAAATCAACAAAAGCATTAAGTATATAGCTATCAAAATTGCATTTGAATTCAGAATTATACAGTAATGGTAATAATTACTGTAAAATAACCGTACCACAAGTACAAAAGCCCATTTGATTCTGAAATAAAAATCCATGGGCTGTTTTTTATATTTGAATTTTACATGTTTACCAGAAAAATGTATGGAACATATGTAAGTGAACAAACCTGACCTCTAAAAAAAAGAAGGATGTTCTATAAAATTATGGTAGTTTCTGTGTCTAGGTGAAGCAGGGCTGTTTCCTGCCATCAGGTGTGATTGGCCAGCCTGATGCAATTACTGTAGCGCGGTGCACAGTAAATACTATTGGATTTCGAGATTACAGTTATTAATATATCATCTGTCCAGATAACTGTATCAGTTTGTCATACTGTATATCATATTAAATAGTCTCTGTTTTCTTTCTCCAGGAGACAGAGGGGATCCTGGGCTGCCAGGCCGGCCTTCCTTGCCCCCAGTGGCAGGATTGTTGGCAAAGGGTGACAGAGGAAGCAGTGGCCCCAGTGGGCTGATGGGGTTCCCGGGGCAACAAGGTGCGGACTTTTCGAGCTGGACGTTTGGCACCTCATAGCAAGTTTTTGTCCACGAGTCAAACCCTCCTGTGCTGAGTTTATGAACTCCACACTCTCGTCCCTGGCTGAGCTCAGTAACTCCACACTCTTCTCCCTGGATGAGCTCAGTAACTCCACACTCTCCTCCTTGGCTGAGCTCAGTAACTCCACACTCTCCTCCCTAGCTGTGCATAGTAACTCCACACTCTCCTCCCTGGCTGAGCTCAGTAACTCCACACTCT